TTGAAAAAAGGAAGGAGGGAGAGCGGTTTGAGGAAAGTTTGGAAAAGTGGGATAGTTGGAGGTTTTAAAGTAAAAGGGTGAGGACATGAGCAGCAAAGGGAACTGCTGGATAAGACAAGGATAAACAATGGTTTACGCAGGCAGAGTAATTTGTATTTACAAGGAAGAAGTAGGCCCATAGAGCAGTAATACTTTGAAGAGTAGGACAGATGAAGCAACCTTAATAAAAGTTAGCAAAAGAAAGTATGGCACTGAGAAGAAGCAATAAGGTGTCCCCTTTTGGGGGTTCCTGTTGGTCCAGGAGAACTGTCCGTTAAGTGCCGCTTGGGCTTTTTTTAATACTCTTGCCGCCCTATGGGCATTAAGAGGGCCTCTTATAGCAGGCCCATTATGGGTTTGGCCAGGCCCACAATGGGGCGACCGGGTGGTGAGGGACGGGGCCAGACATATCCGAACGGACAACCCCCGAAAACTTCCTGGGGATTCATTGACCTGTCCAGATTCAATTCCTGGTCTCCCAGAGCGGTAGGCTGCCACATTGTCCGCTCGGCCATCCGGCCGTCTGCCGCTTGGGCTAGTAGTGGTATAGTCCGTTAGTTTCAGTTGTCTCAAGAAGGTCTTCAATTCTTGATAGATGATCATGTCCTGTAAAAAAGTGTATAGTTCTCAGGGTCAAAGATAGCCTCGTTTCACAATAGCCTTGCAAAGGTTTGCCCGGTGGCGTGAATGAACCGGGCAGATGAAGATTAGATGTATTGGATCTTTGTTCTCATTAGTATCACAGTGGCACAAACCGTTCCCCTTCCTCAAGAACCTATAGAGGATGGTTTTGAAGTTGCCATGTGCTTTTAGTATTTGGGTCATGACGTGTTGGTGACAAAATGCTGATCTTGCGAGAGATGCTGAGGATAAAGTTGCTGGTGAGAGGTCTTGTCAGGCTCCCATTCCGTCTGCCAACAAGACTTTAGAATGAAGTTCAGCTTACCTTGAACCCAGGACTGGGGATCAAAGAGTGGATAAAGAACAGGCTTTTTTGGCGAGATTGTCTGCCTTGTCACTGCCATTGTTTCTTGAGTGGCCTTTGATCCAGGAAAAATTTATATTGACAGTATTCGAGATTTCGTACAGGATCTTTAAGGTATTGTTTATAATGGGGAAATGGCAGTTACTCTTACGAATCTGGTAAAGGGCGACACGACTGTCGCTAATGATGTTGATGTTTTTACCATTGTAACTGGTAATATTATCCTGGATACGCCTGAGGATGTTAAGGATGCCTAGCGACTCGGATTGGTTGATGGAGCAAGGCGGATCCAGTCTATATAGGCACCTTGCCAGAAGGTCCTCTTCACTGGATCATCGAGGATAACAGCCGTGCCTACTGCCTTTGGAGATTTGGATTCATCAGTGTAGTAGTTTATACCATGTGCGATGGTGGATTGATAGAGGCAGATGTTGAAGCCTGGGTCATTGACAAAGTGATGGGTATGCAAGTCGTAGTTAATGTCCAGACCATGTTCCAGGAGGAATTTCCTTAAGACACTTATGTCTGCAGGGAGGTTAAACTTTTTAATTAAAGACTGCAAATGGTCCATGTCAATTTCTGATGTGGCAACTTGCTTTAGCTCAGGGGTGGCCAACATGAGGCCCGCGGGCCGCATGCGGCCCGCCGGGAGTCGTGTTACGGCCCGCGGAGCTAAGTCAAATGAACATAAATGTTAACTTTATTGTAATATCACCAAATGAACATTAGAAGAGTTAAGAAGGTTTGGAAGAGTTCTACGAAACGTATTTGGACAAGGATAAATATCTTGCGTTTTACAATCATGTTCTGTCAATGGTTACGCTATTTGGAAACACGTATGCGTGTGAACAACTTTTTAGTCGCATGAAGTATATCAAATCACAAGTGAGAACACGAATTACTGATGTTCATTTGGAAAACTGTTTGCGTGTAGCGACAACATCAGTCCAGGTCAATTTTGATGCACTTACTTGTTAGTTCTGTAAAACAAAGTCAAATTTTTAAATTGTCTAATAAATATGTTTCTCGGTTATTAAATAAATGATTCTCGGTTATGTTTTATTTTCTTCAAAAAAATAAATATACCTATTTTTTGTGTTTTTTTTACATTAAATCAGGCAAGTGTTTGACCACGATCTCACCTACTGGAAAGCAACGACGCGGATGAAGGTGTAGCACGCTTGCTTGTTTACTTTAATTAAAAAAAAATTAGGTGCGTGGCCCGGCAGGAAATATTATTTTTGAAATTTGGCCCGCCTGCTAAAAAGGTTGGCCACCCCTGCTTTAGCTGATGATACAGGTATTTATTCAGGATGAACCAATGGATGGGGGTTATCTATGAGGAGAAGGGCATCAGTAGGTGCAGTCCTATAGGACTTGGTGATGGCAATTGCTGCTGTGCGCTGTGCAGAGAGAAGCTTTTTACAGATGTGCACCCTCTGAACAGCACACCCCACACCTCACAACGTACTGTACGTGAGAATAGATTCAATAACCCCTTTATAAATAATAGTTGATTCGTTTTTTGAAACCGTGTTTTCGTATTTATTTACTATTGAACACAAGACTGTGTTATTATTAAAACACCAATAAAGTGGATAAACGCCAAGTGTTTTAATAATAACACAGTCTTGTGTTCAATAGTAAAAAAAAAAACCCTTTATAAATAGTTTTGCTGTGCTCGGCGTCTAGGTCCCAGAAGTTTCTAGAGATATGCTGCAGTAATGAGTTTATTTTCGTCGCTTTATCTATACTGATATTATAAAGAAATAATGTTTGTAAGTTTGTATGTAGGGGTAATCTCTGAAACTACTCATCCAATTTCAAAAATTCTTTCACCAATATTTAGAATGGAACTTCAGGGTGGATATAGGCTGTATATTATTCCGTTAAACATTCATATAAATTAAATGATATCATCTACGGTTAAGGCTTTTATGTCCAACAGATAACGCTACGAGTACGACGACCTAAGTTTGCTTTTCTGTAAGGATGAACTAAAGCAGATCATCTATTTCTCTATATCAGTGTTTTTCAACCTTTTTGAATACGCGACCCCTTTACAAGTTAAAAAATTCTGGCGACCTTCCACGGTCATATTAAAACTATGTCAGTGATTTTAAAAATTACTGTACGTATTTAATTTTCTTTCTGATGAGATTTAAATATCGATAAAAAACCAATTGTATTGTAAAATATACAGGCACAGCCTTCTCACTAAAATTGTAGTTTTTTTTTACTGTAGTGTAGGACCTACACTTTTTTCTTTTACCCGCGACCCCCGTATATGGCTTTGCGACCCCTGGCAGTCGCGACCCACAGGTTGAAAAACACTGGTCTATATAAATAAAAATGTAATGTTCATTTGTTCCTACCGATTCCTTGAAATGTTGACACAACGCTGCATTCGAATACGAACGGTGTTTTTATATACTATACATGTCGAAATTCCCCGTACTAGGGGAGATGGACAAGATTCAGGCTTATCGGAAGTACTCTGCTTTTATTTATACTATAGATGCAGTTTGTTGCGTTTTTGATTGCATTTTAATAGGTCAAGAGAATGTACACAAAGAAGTGATTTTTCAAAAAGTTCCCCACCACAGGGGAAGTGTTATACATTTATAATAGATACATTTTGATTCACAACAACGCGTAGCAAGGTCTGCTAGTCACATATATGATAGGTGTGGTCCTTCCAAGAAAGTTTTAGGTCGAATAGCACACCAAGATATTTGATGTTATTTGTGTTTTGAATCCTGTGTTTATTAATTTTAATTACTTGCTTCTTTTTCAGGAAATTATCCTTGGAAAAGACCGTGGCACAACATTTACTGTAGTTAATGTTTAGGCAGCGGTTTACACTCCACTTGTAGATATCTTAAAAAAAATTGTTAGTTAGGTTATGCGGGGTTTCCTGGTTGAGACTTGAGAGGAAGAGGTCCGTATCTTCGGCGTAACCATAAATATATGGATTACCAATAAGAATAAGATTCGATCACTGTCTCAGCAGCCTTTGTACAACGTGTCCCAGAGGAGGAAGCACGATTTCAAGCCCTTTGGGCATCCCCTGGAAATAGTAGTCCTATGCAGTGTTTTCCACTTCTCAATGGCCACTGCAGACCTTTCTGAGAGATAGCTCCTTAGGAGCATTAAAATGTTATGCGGGCAATTGGCTTGAACCAGTTCGTATAAAATGGCCGGCCACCAGGCGTGGTCAAATGCATTTTTAAAATGCTATCTTTACTTTTAAATAAACTGACGTGTAGATTCACATTCAAGAGGCGTTGATGAAACAGGATGTGAAATAGATTATTTATTATACAAATTCGAAGACAAAAAGATACAAAAAGATCTATTATACAAATTCGAACGTTTTAAAACAAAAACATCAAAATGCACTAAACTCTATTGTTGTTAAAGGCAAACTTTAATTAAGAGATTACAGTTGTATGAACATTGATATGCAAGTCGGTAGGTATTAATACTATAAGTCTATGTAATGAATTGAACAGAAATTCTACAGATAATAATGTATTATTAATTTAACCAAGCAAGATAATACTAATTTAGTTTTAGCACTTAAAAATATACCAAATTTACGCCGTAAGTCAGTGAACATAGAGGAATGTTATAGTACATCAATTGAATTAAAATTAATCTTTAAAAAACTCTTAAGAAAATCTACGTCACATTAGAAGACGAATCGTTAAAGATTCATGTTCGAACCTCAAGATGTCTTTCTACTGCTGCTCACAGCGGTAAGAAGGTATTTTTGTAACGATGTCATTTAATTGTTGATACAATTTGCAAAAAAGTCTACAATTTCTATAGCATTATATTTTGATGCTGATAGCAAAACTCGTCTGATACAACAATAAACGAGCAGAGTTCTACCTGTTTTAATATGAAAAAAAGTTCATTAAGCTTATTTTTGCATATTCAACTCTATCACTTAAATACTTTTAAACTGCGGATTTATATTTATTAGTGTTTAGAAATGATATTAAACTCGTTTGTTATTACCGTAAAACTGTAACGACACTAAACAGACTATTTCTACAGGTATCGGCATCGACGACTCTTTTGTACTTTTATCTGCTTGGAGACGTACAGACAGCAACGACGAAGTGAAGAAAAGAATGAGCGATTCTTACTCCGAGGCTGCAGTTTCTGTTTCTGTCACTTCTATAACCAATATTCTTGCTTTTTGTACATGCCTTATCACTCCTTATAGAGTTGTACGGATATTCGGTACTTATTGTGCAGTGTCGTTAGTCTTCGATTACATCTATCAAATATTTTTCTTCGGTGGGATTATGGCTCTGGAAGGTTACAGAGAAAAACGAAATCTTCATCCGTTATTTCTATTTCCACTTAAACCAATCATTTCAGGTAAGAAAATGCGGAAAATTTAACGAAAATACTGAATTGCTTTGTTTTCATATGTTTTTCAAAGACATTTTACGTTTTTCAGATGCAAACGAAAGAAATTCACAAGAATTATACATCATGGCATTCTTGCGAGATGTTGCAGGGAAATATTTACAAAAACTGTATATTAAGATATTATTAGCTGTAATATATACTTGCTATTTAGCGGGGGGGATTTATTGCATAAATTACATTAAACAGGGACTAGATTACAAGAAAATATTTCCGTATACCTCATACGCGGTTCCTTTTACACTTGATCATTATGAATATTTCACACTTCACCCGCACAGAATACAAATTGTTATTAACCAGACTTTAGATTATTCCGATGTACAAACTCAAAAAGATGTCGAGAGCCTTCTAAATACTTTCGAAACTGCTCCGTTTATCAGTGGTTATCTTACAACAGAATGCTGGCTGAGAGAATATTTATCTTTTAGCGAAAGTGCACTTTCTAAATTGGTCTTCAAAGGATATAACTTGAACAATTCCTATGAGTTTTTGGATGGATTGAAAAATGTATTTTTAAATGTTAAAAGTTTCCGCAGATTTCGAAACGACGTCGTTTTTAACACTGAAGGGGATCGAATTATAGCGTCCAGATGTTATATTCTTAGTTATAATATAAAAAACTCCAGTGCAGAAACGACAATGATGGAAACAGTTCGTAAAATAGCGGATGATAGTAAATTTAAAGTATTCGTACATGATCCATGGTTCGTTTATTATGATCAATACTTAAATGTGACAACAACTTGCATTCAGACAGTATGCCTTTCCGCATTACTAGTATCCTTGGTACTTTTCTTATTTATACCAAATTTCACATGTACTATATGTGTCATGCTAACTGTAGTCTCCATAGAGGTGTGTATAGTTGGATACATGTCTCTTTGGGACGTTAATGTTGACACTATTTCCATGATAATTCTAGTTATGAGTGCGGGATTTTGTGTAGATTATTCCGCTCACATCACGTACGCTTACATAAGTAGCGAAGAAAGCGATCCTGCGGGTAAGATGAGATACGCATTATACGCTGCGGGTTATCCAATAATTCAAGGATGTGCTTCGACAATTCTAGGGGTATCGGTTCTGTATTTCGGTAGTAGTTACTTGTTTGTTATATTTTTCAAAATTTTGCTTCTAACAATGACATTTTCTGCATTCCACGGCTTAATTTTGTTGCCAGTAATTCTTAGCACTGGAGATTCTATAGCGCTTTCTTGGAAAAATAAAAGGAATAGAAAAAACTTCCGTATAATAAAGCATAAAGACAATGATTTGACAAATAATAATGATCAAAGGGACGTTGAATTATCTTTTATTGAAAAATAATGAATACTTATTCTGTCAAATTTATAGTTTTCTTAGATAGTAGGATAATTACTTTGATTTGAAGCAGCTTCGTGAAGTTTTTATAAAATTATATTCAGGATACAGGAAATTGCTTTATTAACATGTTTTCATGTATGACGTTAATAGTTTTACATTATTGTTTTTGTAAATTTGTTGCCATGCTTATATGAGGTCAACATTCCCAACTTTAATGTGTTTTTTCAGATCTTTTCATCCAGAGTGTTGTCTCTGGTCCATTTCCTTTGTCGCAAGAAATTTATGACACTTTGTCATTCCATGTCAATTTTGATCTTTTTCATTTCCTGCTTTGTATCACTTACGGCTTCTTAATCCTCTTTTCAACGCAGTCCTTACTTCTCTCCAGGTGCAAAGCAACTTAATCTACTTTTCATTAGGTCCCATATTGAGTGTTTCTCTTATGTAATCGTTCCTTATTCTGTGCTGATTCGTCATATCACTAATTCCCATTTTTACTGTTTCTATCTTCTTTTTCTTAGTTTCCTGTAACTGTCCACATCTCGGCACTGTATATCATTGCAGGTTCTACTACGGTTTTGTAAATTTTTTTCTGTCATTTTTTAGGTTATTTTATTATCACAGAGCATTTCGTTCATCTTTCTCCATTCCACTGTGAACCACGTTGGATCTCTGCACTTTTTTTTCTGTCAGTTGCTATATATGATCCCAGAGAGGTAGTTAATTTCGAAAGCTGTTAATATCTTTTTATTCTGGAGTTGTTTATAACTTTTTACCGGAAATCATATATAATCTGTTTTTTTTCATGCTTCTCTCTTTAAAATCTTTTCTTCAATTTTACAGCGACTTTTTCACCTTATGTGTGTATGTTTCACATAGCACAATGCCGTCCTCGAACAGTATACTCAACGGTGACTTGTTCCTTACATCTTCCATTAATTCATCTTTTAGTAAATCAAACAGCAACGGGCTGAGTTCTGAGTTCTGGTGCAGTTGAAGTCATAGTGAATCTTCCCATCGTACCTCCAGTACTATTTATTTGATTTATTGCTTCCTTGTACATTCCTATTGGAAATTTTACACACTTTTCTGGTATTTGTTCTATTCTCATACATCTTCATATCTCCTGTCTAGGCACCTTATTGTACGCTTTCTGCAGGTCTATGAATGTTATGTATAATTCTGCATGCATTTTTTTGTCCTTTTCCATTTGCTGCTTTAGAGCAAAGATCGCATCTGCTGTTCCACTTCTCGCCATGTTACCAAAGTGTTCCTCACCTATACCTGCCTTCTTCCTTAATTTTCCTTTCACGCTTGTTTCAGATCTTCATTGAGTACGACAACAATTTAATTTTTTCGTAATTATCACATTTTTGATTATCTCGATGTTTTTTTTATAAATTTGCACCAAAACATTTTACCTCCAGTTACCAGGTATTTTTTTATTGCTTCCGCAGCTTTTTGACAAAATACTACACCTTTTTTTTCAAACCCTGCCGTATATTAGCTGAGATGTGATTAGCTCCTGTTGCTTTTTCATTCATTCATTTTATAAATGCCTTTTCCACCTTCTTGCTTATATCTGCTGCAACTTTCTCGCGTGCATTCCCGTAATTTTCAGTATTCATGATTCAGTATCTTCCTAAACTAGTAGTACAATTTTTCCATTATTTTCTCTTGGTATCGTAACATTTTACCATTCTTATCTTTTATCTGTTTTGTTGATGTGAAATATTTTGATGCCTCGCAATTCTTTTTAACAGTCTATTCCCATCTACTCTTTCCATTTAATCAAGATTCTTATCTAATGTTTTTGCCATTTACACAGCCTTTTTCTAGTTTTACTTGCAGCCTTAAATGTTTCTATAACTTTTTGTTACCTGTGATTTTCGATCCTTTGTTCATTTATTTTTCTTATTGCAACTTGTACCTTTTCTTCTAGAAGTAATAATGTAACAGTTAATATTGCATATAACTTTCGTTGAATTATAATTTTTCTTTAATTTATATATTAAAGCATGTATCAGTAGTTGTAATTGCGGTTTTCCTATTCAACACTGCCTAGAGAAAGAAATAACTGTCCAAATGCAAACAAATTTTGTATAGTGACACGCAAAAAATATATCGTTAAATAAATTACAACAAAAGATCTTCAATGCGTACTGTACAATAGAGTAACACATCGAAACCAAAAGTATCACAAAATATTAACTACGGCCTGCCATTGAACACTGTTCATCGACGTCAGCATATTCAAGTATTTGGAATTTTTGATCGAATGAATATAAATTTTTTTTACTCAAAAGTCTTTATGTCAAACTAACTTATTTGGTTTTATCTCTTGACAATTTTGAATAATAATTGTGTAATTACTATCATTGGTAACAGATTCTATTTAAAATCTTTAATTTCTATTTTGCATTTCGTGGTTATTATTTACATTTTAATAACAATTGAGTAAGTTAAAGTGAATTTTTATATATATAAAGAATTATGAATTCTTCCAAATGTTTTTAAACAAAGTTTTATAATCTATTATAATATATGTTACATTTCCTAGACTTTAAATATTCGTATTCCTTACTTTGCATTTGTTGTTTATTGGGATTTTTAGAAAATGATTCTAGTTTTATATAAACTTATCAGGCTATTGAAAACATATTTATTATATTTGAAAATAAGGAAACCACTTATACTTTATATGCAGTTATCAAACTAAATTTATTACGAGAGTATAAATTGTCTTATTTTATATTAATAAAATAAATTTATATATAAAATTGATACCAATGTGGAAAACTAACTGTATGGATAATACATTTATATTAAAATATTTTTTGTTATTTATGTTAAGTATACAGTGATATTGATTTTCTCACGTAAAAATGTTATACTCATAATAAACGTGACTTTTCGAGTTTTGTTTTGTTTCTAAACTCGACGTTTGATTCCTGTAAACCGAAAAACTTCAGAATTCGGAAAAATACTAACGACGTGTTTGTGTGTGTTGGTATCTACATTGCTTAATATTTCGGAGTAGGGTAAAAATTAACAAACGAAATACGGCATGGTCTCTTGTATGTAATGGGCGTGTAATGCGATGAAATTTTCGGGTAAAATCTGGCAGATAAAAGGAATGATGTGTCGTATCTCGAGTGAAACTAGACTTAACGAAACTTTATTTATTATTTACATTTACAGTATTATTTTAATAAGCTTTCCACGCTTTTTAGTAAGTTCGTAATCCTCAACAGATACATTTGTTTAGTCTATTATAGAACTCTTTTTCTGATGGTGATTGTTCTATGCAATTTTCTTCACAATTCACGGAATAGTACTTAAAATCGTCTTTTTTTTGCCTTATAATTTTTCTTTATACTTTAAAAAAAATGAATTTTTCTTTCAAGTATTTTACGGTTTCTTGAAATAGCTGCATTGTTAAATTGCTAGACACTTTAAATAAACTAATAGCTAAAAATTTGAATAAGTCTATGAATTTGAGTGTTATTCTACCAATGTGTTTCTTAAATAAAATATATATTTTTTCGAAGATAAACGAAAAAAATATTTTTCTAAAATAATACAAAGGTAAAATTAACTGCAATAAGATATCAAAAGATAGACACGTTTCTAATAGTTTTGTGATAGAATATACTAACAATGTTATCTGGCAGAATATTTTACAATACCGCGTCTGCTCGAAATTAATTCTTGAATTTAAATATAAAGTTGGTTATGTGCTACATCACAATAGCAAGAAAATGTAGTAAAGATGCATTAAATTCAAACTGCTAAGATGTCTGGTTTCTCGAACCATAGAGTAAGCGAACAATTAAAAATTCTGACAATTTTCAATTCTATTAGTGTGAGAGCCTAGACTAAATATGTTTCTCGGAAAAAACATCGGTTAATTCTTTTTTATATAATGTTAAAAACTTTTTTCTACTGAAAGAAACTTTTTCCAACATTAATTAAGTCTTGAAAGATATGACTACACCTTCCCTCGGATTCAATTTTTTTAAAGGTAAGACATTTATAAATTCAACCGGAATTGAACAGCACAAATTTGTGTATTTAATAATCACCAAAAAAGGCACGAGAAGTTAGGAAACGACCCGAAAATAAAAGAAGAGGATCGTTAATGCCAAAGAGAGAGTTTGTCAATCATCTCGAGTTAGTTGGTCAGGTAAGGTTCGCTATCTTGTTAGTCGCCAGCCTCGACTCTCTTCGACAGTTCTCTGGCTGTTCAACTATTTAAGACATCGAACAACATACTCTCGGATTTACATTCACCTATCTGCAATAGCTAAATTTCGTCCAGGGGCTATTTTAATACTATATATATGTATAATCCTATGCAAATAAACGGGTATTTGTTTACGTTCAATGTAGTTAAGTGCACTTCTTTCGGACGCACTGTCTCTCGAATCTCCTCCAATCCAATTCTAACCGCTTACCGAAGCGACCGCTCTCCCGTGAAACAAAACATATCCGCTATCGCGATTTCTGTATCTCTTAAGGCACCGTGGTGTCAGTCCTGACGTGGCATCTTTTGGTGCCGACCCTGTGGTAACAGTAGGATCCAATAATCATTGAAGAAATGTTCTTTTGATGTATCTAAAAAATTACTTTTATATTAATAACAATTATGCAATGAATAGGCAAAGAATGCTTCACCAATCTGATATAGTTAAGATTTTAAAAATAACGTAAATGCCAATAACAGGAAAACTTTCATTAAGTCAGACTCCACTCGAGATATCACACATGATCCTTTTGTATATTTGTAGTCCAAGCTTTAATAGCATTGGCATTTTTTATATTCACGTTACCATGCAAAATTCGGTTTTTTATTCTTTACTTTCATACTCAGATATGGAAAAAACTAAATATGTATCCAAGGAATTTTTTCGTGTTATATTATTTTTGGTTTAAATGGTGTGAAAATGTCGAAATTTGCAAACTACTACTTTTTCAACCTCATTTCCTCACTTCTCATTTGTTGACTCACATACAATCAATTATTCTGGCAGTTTTACAAGATGTTATTATTTAACCAAGTCTCATATCAAGTCTTTTAGACGTTAAGGTTAACAAATTCGATCGCATGCGGCATTATCACAATTTGTCTAATACGTATCACTTTTTAAATATTTATAGTAGATCGGTATTAAGTAGTAGTCGTTAAACATTCTCGCTTCCGACAGCAAAACGACTACTACTTTTGGTCGAATTAACTTTAACCTCCATTTGCAACAGCCTCTTCTTTCTATCTAACTCACCAGTATGATGACACGCAATTAAGAAAATTACATAATACGAGATTACCGGCAAGCACAAAATATGATTTTAGTGGTTATCCACAGAGTGGAGTTTACATACTTCGTCCCGTTTTTTGCGAAATTTAATCGGATGGAGATTATCATTTGATATTTGGCAGTGAATACAGCACTTTCTTAGGGCTAACAATAAAATGAAATCCAATTAGTGTCAACTTGACCAATGAAAATGTATCATTTCGTACCATTCGAGTATCGCCATAAACACGACAACGGTTATACTAAAATAACAGAACTCTTTATATGGTTTCCCTTTTAGTATTTGTTATATTATAGTATTTGATTTATATAACTAGAAAGGTAATCTTACGTAAGGGCTTATCACACCGAATGACCAATCTAACACATTTTAAAAATTATTTATTCCTCTACTCTACACAATTTAAAGAATTACTAAAATGTGTTAGATTGGTCATTCGGTGTGATAAACCCTTACGTAAGATAATATTTCTAGTTATATAAATCAAATACTATAATATAATAGAATGGTTANATAGTAGTCGTTGACCATCCTGTCTTCTAGGAAAAGATTAACGATAAATTAACCTCGTAGTATTTCAACAGTGTTTCGCAACGCACTCTTCTTCCTATGGTACCAAGAATATGTGGCATTTGAATAGGAAAATTACATAATCCGAGGTTACCGGCTAGCTCAGAATTATAGTCATTCGGTGCGATAAACTCTAACGTAAGATAACTTATATAAATATAAATCAAATACTATAATATAATAGAATGGTTAAAAGTACGAAATAATCTAATAATTTTTATGTTTGAACCTACTATTTGTCCGAGCAACGCCGGGCTTATCTGCTAGTATTGTATTTAAAAACAGGGACGTCGAACACCTGATGCTCCTAGACTTATGTCATGACAATTGTGGGATGTTTTATTAATTGTAGTAAACAACTGAGATCAATAATTTTTTCCGTGATATACAGAATTTAGATTTATCTGAAAATAAAACACGTTTTCAGTTTTCCTGGGTAAATTATTCTTTTCTTCGGTCACTGTTAATCAATTTAATAGCTGCAGTTAACAGAGGTTTTTCTTCTTTTAATATATAAAAAACTGGAATCAAAACTGTTTTAATCGACTCCATGTTGTATAGTACTGAACATGTAGCTGCCTCGAGTCAAATTTCGTTTCACAATTTACTTAATTAACTGAGTTTTAAAGCGATTTTTAGAAGCGAGATTCTTAAAGCATATACTTTCTACTCGTATACGTTTTCGTTTATAATTAGGGGAGAANTAAAGTATACTATTTTATAAATGATATTTATATGAAATTCTTAAAAGTTTAAAAAAGCAATTAATCCAAAAATATTGATTCCAGGTGGCCATGGCGTGCGATTATATAAGACGAGCAGTTTCTTTTGCTTTTTCTCGTGTTGGATATCACATCGGATGTCATCCACTGGCGTACACTATAGTACCCTTTCTGATATCTTTAATACTTTCGACTGGATTTAAAGAATTGGAATTAGTCAAAAGCATAGAATATCTCTTTACCCCAATCCACGCCAGATCTAGAACGGAGAGAAATGTTGTCGAATCGCTGTTTCCATCAGATTTTTCAAAAGAATTCGACTTTTTAAGAAAGTCCAGACTCGGAAGATACGCGGCTGTTACTGCCACTGCCAAATACAATGATTCTATGCTGGACGAATCGACAATGGATGATTTACATGAAATAGATAAGACAATTAGAAATATCAGTTTTATCTGGAGGAACACAACAATCATTTATGAAAGAATTTGCGCCAAGACAATTTACGACGAATGCCTTAGAAACTATGCTTTGTCTTTAAGGGGAAAAGTGAAAAGCATTAAAATGGGAAAACACAAAATCAAGTAAGACATTTGCTTTAAAATTTTATAATAAATTTAATATTTAAAAAATGTTTCACATACAAGTAAATATTAAAACTCGAATTATTTCTAAATAAATAATTTAAAGTTATTTTAATAAATATTTACATTTCAATGATAATCCGAATGGAAAATATATTAAATAATTTAATTATCTAATATTTATAATGTATGAGTTAATCAGTGTTCTCATTTAGTAAAAACCCATTATATAAAATGTGACCTTGGATTATCGCT